TGAAAAGCACTGAAGTGCAAACCCTCGGCGCACTGTGACGTGCACGCGTAAGTAAACGCATGCGCCGTACCACTAATTGATGGGCTGGGTTTAGTTTTACTGTTACTCGTGGTCTCTTGCCAGCTCGTGCAGACTGACGCGGGCTAACTACACTACTAGATAGTATGCGAGAGGCGATACACGCCCTGCGTTGCATCTTCTGGTGCCTCCGAGGTACGCAGAGCACGCGGATCGATCAGACCGTGGTAAGCCATCCCGTCCGTTGTGTATTTGCATATTGGCTTTTTCGCGCTGTAGCTCTGCAACGGAGCATTTTCAGAGAAAACCCCACATATTTTCTGACCTTCGTCGCCCGTTCAGTAGTGGTATCCTTTGTGAGACGAACGAACACTCGAAAGTGAGATGACGAGTGAGATGACGAGTAACAGACAGACAGACACACAAACCAAACTACCGTAACCCTCGCTGTGCATGCGCGCCGAGGGTTAACTACAGACCAATCTCATTACTATCGGTTGTTTCAAAGGTTCTAGATAAGCTTGCATATAACAGTATTGTGGATTTTGTTACGAACTCTATGTCTGTCGTCCAGTTTGGATTTTTACGAGGTCGTTCCACTTTGCAGCAGTTGCTGATTTTCTTTAACACTATTGTAAGCACAGCTTCTCAAACTGATGTCTTTAGAAAAGCCTTTGATTCTGTGGCACATAATGAACTTCTCTGCAAGCTCTGGAAGTTTGGAATCACTGGTGACCTCTGGCTATGGGTTAGAGCTTATCTGTCTAACAGAGTTCAGTATGTGTCAATTGGCCAATCAACTTCTTCCACATTACCTGTTATTTCTGGTGTGCCACCTAGTATTCTCGGTCCAGTCCTGTTTCTCATCTTTGTTAACGATTTGCCCTCTATATTCTCCTTTTCCAAGGTTTTACTTTTTGCAGACGATGCTAAGTGCATCATGCCAATCTATTCCATGCAGGACTGTATAAATCTTCAAACTGATCTTTCTAGACTCTCTGACTGGTGCACGACATGGAACTTGCTTTTAAATGAAGAAAAATGTTCCGCTATTCGTTTCATGCCTAGGTTGTCTCCTACACCTTTCCACTATCATTTGAATGGTAAACAAATCTCTTCTAAAACTGCACAAAAGGATCTCGGCCTACTTGTGTCGGCTGATCTCACCTGGCGATCTCATTATCAGTTGATCTCTTCTAGGGCCTACAAAATGTTAGGTCTTCTACGGAGAGTTTTCTGTAGTTCTGTATCGGTGTCAGCGAAACGCTCTTTGTACATTACTCTTGTCCGTTCCCAGCTCCTTTACTGTTCTTCCGTATGGCATCCATACCTCCTAAAGGATATCAAATGTCTTGAATATGTCCAGAGGAGGGCAACCAAAATCATTACTAATGACCATTCCCTAGACTACAGGAACCGTTTAATACATCTTAATCTGCTACCCCTGATGATGGAGTTCGAATTTGCTGATATTATGCTATTGGTAAAGAGTATAAAGTTTCCGTCCAACCATTTTAATATCTGTGATTTTGTTCAGTTCTGTAGTCATTCAACTAGAGCTGCCCATGGTTTAAAGCTGAAACACTCTCTCTGTAGGAATGACTTTGAGAGGAACTTCTATTTTAACCGAATTCCTCGACTATGGAATGCCTTACCCTCATTTGATATAACGCTTTCTCTTTCTGCAATTTGATCAAAGATACGAGAATATTTCCGGGACCATTTCATGTCCACTTTCAATTCCAACATTGTGTGTACATACCACTATCTTTGTCCTTGCTCTAAGTGCTCAAGGCTACCAGTCAAAATGCATATTTGTGATTCTTTGTAATGATTTGGTTTGTGTTTTGTTTATGTATTTTTGTTTGGCTGCTGGCTTAATGCCTCCAGTCTATCAACACAGCTATAACTTCACTTTTCACAGTTTCACTTCCTTTGTCACCACCTGTGTTGTAAAGCATAATATAATAACGTGTAGTGCAAAGTGATTGGTCAGTTTGCTGACACACCCACACGTTTTTGTGTGCCACGCCCATTGCACGAGCATACTTTTGATGCTAATTAGTAGATCTGCCGAGCTACGTAGCTTGCTAGTGCCTTTCTCTTACCGTTTGGGCATACATATTCTACCAGCAAAAGAGCTAGCCAAGGCTCATCTGCTTGTCCAGGGGCCACCGTCAAGTGCTGCGTAGAAAATTTGCTAAAACACATGTTTACTTGGATCAGAGTCCAATTCATAGTATACACCCATGCGAACCCAAGTAAGTGGATATAATGCGCATGCACATAGACTGTTGGGTACAAAGCAAAAACAGATCATTTAAAGAATTTGGGCCTTTTGGTTTCGCCTGATGTTATCAAAGTGTTTAAAATTGTAGGGAAGAAGAAGGATTTTTCATGCAGTGATCGGAAGTTTGCTTGTAACATTGGACTCACATTTAAAACTCCAGAAGAGTTCTTTCTGGGATATCCAATGTGCTCAAAATATTCATTTGGTGAGTTTGACCCCCGTAAGAATGCCATTTCTGCCTATAATCCTATGGTAGAGCCTGCTGATGCCTCATTCATAATTGACGGACCTGAAGTAGTGGTTTTTGTTGGTTTTCCTGCGTCTGGAAAAACAACATTTTATGAAAAAATCATGAAACCTAATGGCTATATTCATGTAAGCAGAGATATTCTAGGGTCCTGGCAAAAGTGTGTTAACATTTGTAAACGTGAGTTGAAAAGAGAAAAGGCCAAAGTAGTTATAGATAACACAAATCCAGACGTAGAGTCTCGAAGACGTTACATATGCTGTGCTCAAGACCTTGAAGTTCCTGTAAGATGCTTCCATTTTTTGACTACAATGGCTGAAGCAAAACATAACAACAGATTTCGTGAATTGACAACTGAGAGGGATTTTGCAAAAGTGACCGATATAGCCTATAACACTTTCAAGTCAAGGTTTGTCCCACCACAAGAAACAGAAGGATTCAAAGAAGTTCTTAGAATAACCCTTAATGCATCTGTCAAGGATGAATATGCAAACTTGTACATTCAGTTTTTACTATGAGTTGGGACTATCATGCCTCATAATCATTATTGTGTTATGTTGATTAATTCGGCATTATTTTAGTTCTGGATTTTGCATCATTGCCCTAAGACTAGCGTTCTAAATAATAAGCAGAGAAATATCTTAAATCACAAATCACTAAGTACGGTAGTACTTAGTATATAGGAATGTACTTAGTATAATGGTACCTAGCATCATAGATGTATGGGGCTATGATAGGGAGTTTTGTTCTCCTTCTTCAGATTGAACTCGCGTATCTCAAAAACGAAAAAAAATAGTAATGAAATTTTCTAAGATATCCATCACCCGAAGAGACTGGCACTTTAGTGCCAAATAGCTTCAGGCACTTCTCCTCTAACTTGCCAACAGTAGCACTCATGGAGATGAATCTTGGTCAGGATGCGTATGATGTCGTTTCCATGACAACCACATATTATTTGAACAACAACAAATAGCCTCAGGCGTTTACTTCTTCACTCCTCAAACTTGCTAACGGCAGCACACATGGAAATTAAACTTGGTACGCATGTGTATTACATCATTTCCATGACAACAACAAGCATTTTTCTCCATTATTAACTTTTATTGGGGGCTTGCCCCCTTTCACAGAGATATATGTAGTAAATAAGTGGAGACAAGTAAATTAAAAATCCTGCAAATTTAAAAAAAGAGGGATATAGGGATGGTATAAAAAGTAAGGGAGACAAGATAGGGATGGGATACATGAAGCATGGTTAATGAACAGATTTGAGCACACTGACACCCAAACCCCATCACACAATCCCTTTATTGTTGCCTAGGTGAAGTACAACATTACACAATAGTCTAGCTTGAAATACGAAAAAGTCATGCTACTGAGTAACCAAGAGTACAAATGGAGTGGCACACCAAGCAACAATATAGGGATTGTGTGATGGGGTTCGTGGTGTCAGTGTGCTCAAACCTGTTCACCATGCTTCATGTATCCCATCCCTATCTTGTCTCCCTTACTTTTTATACCATCCCTATATGCCTCTCTTTTTAAATTCGCAGGATTTTTAATTTACTTGTCTAACTTAATCTTACTCATGAAGTTAGCAAAAATGACACCTGGTCAGCAAAGTGATTTGTTTACGACAAGATTTACTGCCTCATTAGCATCTTGTGGACAAGCATGCAATTGCTGGAATTTTGTTAAAATGACTTCATAGAAACATAGTTATTACCTGGCAACAAAAGGGTAGAGGTTACTTTAATGGTGATAAAAAACGTACTGCCAGATGCAGGCTGGCTCCCAATATGCTAGCCTAATTTTGAACAATAGAAGGTGCACAGAAACTGCCTTGATTCTAGGAATAATGCATACAATTGCAGTGTGTAGGCATTTGGCACGATCTCCCCTTCCGTGTATTTGCGTTAAAATGGAGAACTGAGGAGAAATGAGAACTTACTGTGGATCTTCACTATGTGCTATATAAATCATATGACTGAAAATGTAGTTCATCGCTCCCTCGAAAAGGCTAGAAACGGTGTGAACAATAATGAAGAATTAGCGCACACACCCCTATTGCGCAAGTGTTTTCGCGCATACCAGTCTAAGAGAATAATGGGGGCATAGAGGAGGAAGGAAGGATGGCATGGTTCCTAGCGTCATAGATGTATGGGCTATGATAAGGAGTTTTGTTCATTTTCTTCTTCTTCAACCAGCATAACTCAAAAACAGAAAGAGATAAAGCCATGAAATTTTGTAGGAATGTACATATCTATAACCACATGTGCAACGTTATACTTTTTTGTTTGTAATAATAGTAATAATACTCAGGTGGCTGCCATAGCACTAAAGCCATAGACCACGCACCCAGAGCAATGGGCGGAACTGTTAACAAACGAACATACACCATATGAACATGAGGTGTCTTGTTCCACCTCCAGACACCTCACCTCACACCCCTTCACACCAGCGACACCCTGCTAGCTCCCCAGATGCAATCTTAGACTGGGTCTGTTGTACGCTGGGATAATCGCGGTATAACCTAACATTTCTTCGCTCCCAAACCTCCTAAAATAAAACCTTTAACAAGGCCAAGCAAAGAACCACATTTATCCTCCCACAGCTCACTACCCAAAATAAAGGATGCTATCCTGAAACTATCAAGCGACTGGAAATGCCCAAACCCATCATCCCCAAGCTCCCCCTGCAGGGCAACGGCTCCAAAGACATTAATACAAGTAAATTAAAAATCCTGCGGATTAAAAAAGAGTGCATATAGGGATGGTATAAAAAGAAGGGAGACAAGATAGAGGATGGCTGTTTGTCGAGCACAGAGATGCTAGCGAGAGGAGTTTAAGGACTCCCACAGGTTATTAAAACAGCCCTAGATCGTCGTTACGGTGGGAGTGAAGGTTATGAAAAGAGATGCTAAGTACTCTGTACTACTTAATAATGATCGTTGTCATCGATCTGTCTGCTAATTCCCATGGAGTGTATGCACATCAATGTCGCGCAGTTATGTGTCTGTCGTGATAATCAGCCGACCAAAACAGTGTACATGCATAAACATCATTACATGGAAAACATACGTATATACGAGAAAGCCAAATTCAAGTATGCAGGATTGCTGCATACTTATGCGAGGAAGATTTTACTCCGTGGTCAAGCACCGTATCGCACGATATAGGGCTGTTGTAATGACCTGTGGGAGTCCTTAACTCCTCGCTAGCATCTCTGTGCTGCCGTTAGCAAGTTTGAGGAGTGAAGAAGTAATTTTAAAGAAACGCGCCTGAGGCTATTTGTTGTTGTAGTTGTCATGGAAACGATGTAGTACACATGCACACCAAGTTTCACCTCCATGCATGCTACAGTTAGCAAGTTTGAGGAGTGAAGAAGTAATTTTAAACAATGGTGCCTGAGGCTATTTGTTGTTGTAGTTGTCATGGAAACGATGCAATACACATGTAACAATAGACCATGTGATGCCAAGAGAAAAAAGATGAGGAGCTCTGGACAGCTGTTTCGGGCTTGTTGGCGCACCAAGTTTCACCTCCATGCATGCTACAGTTAGCAAGTTTGAGGAGTGAAGAAGTAATTTTAAAGAAAAGTGCCTGAGGCTATTTGTTGTTGTAGTTGTCATGGAAACGACGTGATGCACATGCGCACCAAGTTTCACCTCCATGCGCGCTACAATTAGCAATTTAGAGGAGTGAAGAAGTAATTAAAAAAAAATTTCCTGAGGCACAATATGTGGTCGTCATGGAAACATGTAATCGTCATGGAAATGATATAATAGGCATACGTACCAAGTACGCGTGCTACCATTGGAAAGTTTGAGAAGTGAAGAAGTTAATTTAAAGAAAAGTGCCTGAGGCTATTTGTTGTTATTTACAAACATGTATTGTTGTGATTTTGATGTTGGCTATTGAATACATTGTGTATACAAACTTTCGCTCCCATAACTCTTACCATTATTGTGAGTTACACTGACACATGTAGTATGCCCATTAGAACATATTGCCCATTATAATGTATTGCCTGGGGCAATTTTGTTGTTGTTTACTGTAAACAACATTGTTTACAAACAAAAAAGTATGACGTGGTTATCGATATGTACATTCCTACAAAATTTCATGGCTTTATGTCTTTCGGTTTTTGAGTTAAGAAGAAGAAGAAGATGAACAAAACTCCCTATCATAGCTCCATACATCTATGATGCTAGCTAGGTACCATGCCCATCCCTATATACTAAGTACTACCGTACTTAGTGATATGCTGGACACTCCCACAACACTGTAAAAAATGAAAAGCACTGAAGTGCAAACCCTCGGCGCATTGTGACGCGCACGCGTAAGTAAACGCATGCGCCGGACCACTAATTGATGGGCTGGGTTTAGTTTTAGCTGTTACTCGTGGTCTCTTGCAGGCTCGCGCAGAGTCTGACGCGGGCTAACTACACTACTAGATAGCATACGAGAGGCAATACACGCCCTGCGTTGCATCTTCTGGTGCCTCAGAGGTACGCAGAGCACGCGGATCGATCAGACCGCGGTAAGCCATCCCGTCCGTTTCGTATTTGCATATTGGCTTTTTCGCGCTCTAGCTTTGCAACGGAGCAGTTTCAGATAAAACCCCACATAGTTTCTGACCTTCATCATTGGGTAGATGGTATCCTTTGTGAGACGAAAGAACACTCGAGAAGTGAGATGAAGAGTAACAGACACACAGACAGACCCAAGTACTGTACAAAGGTTCAAAGGTTCAAAGGTTTTAATGCACTGCAAGCCAAACAAGAATAGGCACGGCATGTTTTACAAAAAATAAAGTTACTTGTAATGTCTAGCATACATGAAAATATCAGAAGTAGCGGACGAAAGAGAGTTGATAATCTGGTCTGGGTCTGAGAGAGGCGTGTGAGAGAGAGTATAGTGATGAAAGTAAGAAACATCCATTGTGGCACCACAGAGATGGCAGATGCCTGGCTGAAACTGTGGCCTGGTCAATTCGCGATAAAGGGCCTGTAAGAGAGTCAGTACCACGAGGTCCGTAATCAAGTGCCATGTCCCACAGCTTCATCCAAGATGTATCAGCAGCTATTCCTGATGCAATCGCTGTACTGTTGTGACGGCTGGCCTCGGTGGTGCAGGCCTCCCAGTCTGCCTGTAATACTTCTCGCTTTAATTCTCTTAGAGTTGACTGGGCACTGAGCATGGCATCGGTAGAGCCCTGACAGGAGAGCTTACCCTCCATAGCTCTACATTCCTGCACGAGCCTGAGAGAATCTTGTGGTGAGCTTGAAAATATTTGGCTCCCAATGCTATTTCCGTCATCAGACACCTTTGATAGAAGACTCAGTTTACGAACAACATTCTTGCTGTTACTGAGGGCCACCTGAGAGCCAAACGAGTAGAAAGTGTAGAGTGATACTTCGACAGTTTCAATATGCGACGACCAATTTCCCCCTGAAATGATTCCAGCTGATGCAGCATCGAATCTGTCAGCATCCAGTTCTCACAGCGAACAGCAGCACGGGAAACCACACAGGCCTCATAGAGCTTCTCGCTGATAATGGATTCAACTGTCCATGAAATGC